CAAGCCTGATGACATGAGTTTGATCCCCAGGACCCTCAGGCTTGGCCGCAATGGCACTTACCCACTGGGCCATCCCACTGGGCCCCTGTTTTCCTAAGTCAAACAAAACCAAGTTTACCAAAACTAAGAAATTAGTCCTTATATAGAAATATAATAAAGACAATTTGGGATAAATTTCTTTGGGGAACTATTTCCTTTCAGCCTAATGTATACATGACCATTCGTTCACTCACTCAATGGATAGTGAGTTTTTTTCTTTTTTTTTTTCTTTTTTTTTCCGGTTTTTTGAGACAGGGTTTCTCTGTGTAGCTTTGCGCCTTTCCTGGAACTCACTTGGTAGTCCAGGCTGGCCTCGAACTCACAGAGATCTGCCTGGCTCTGTCTCCCGAGTGCTGGGATTAAAGTCGTGCGCCACCACCGCCCGGCGAGTTTTGTTCTTTTTTAACAATGTATTTGTTTCTATTTTATGTGCATTGGTGTTTCACCTGCATGTATGTCTGTATGAAGGTGTCAGATGCCCTGGAACTAGAGTTACAGACAGTTGTGAGTTGCCATGTGGGGCTGGGAATTGAACCCGGGTCCCCTGGAAGAACAGCCAGTGCTCTTAATTGCTGAGCCCTCTCTCCAGCCCGGGATAGTGAGTTTTTAATCACATATAAGCACATGCCCTCAGTGGTTGGAGGACTTGAGAATGACCAATAATATACTCCTTACACTTGAGGTGCTGCCAGGCTTCTTGGAAGGAGATCATATACTATATGTCATGCAGGTGGTGAAGGCCTAACTATCAGAATGAGAGCAGAGTATTTTATAGAGAAGATGTCAGTGAGGTGAAGTTTATCAAAATTCACTTCATTCTTTTTTTTTTTCCAGAGCTGATCCATAATCTAAAAAGATTTTAGCCTTCCCTCCTGAAAGTACAGCCAGCATATCCTTTCATCAGCTTGATACAATACAAATTCTTATCCTAATAGTGAAATGTTTCACTAAAGCTTTCCCAGTGATTGGGCAAAACCAAAACTTGCTATAAGCCACAGTCATCTGAGGGTCCTCCCTGCTAAGTAGCCTCCCTGGATCTGTGGGTTGCAGTCTGTCCTTTGCTTTATATCTAGTATCCACTTATGAGTGAGTACATACCATGTTTGTCCTTTTGAGTCTGGGTTACCTCACTCAGGATGATATTTTCTAGTTCTTTGTTATGAGGGTCTCATATAGCCCAGGATACCCTTGAACTTGTTGTGTAGTAGAGGATGGACTTGAACTCCTAATCTTCCTCCTTCTATCTCCTAATAGTAGGAGTAAAGGAATGCCCCCAGCACACACAGCCAACGTTTGGGGCATGCTGGGATGTGCTCCTCCCCTGAGGAATGAAGAAGGACAGGAATGGAGTGGAATAATACCTAGTCCAGATCAGTTGCCATCAGGGGTGTGGGAGTGAGGAAAGGGCTACTGCTGCTGGGTAAGCCTGCTGCTGGGTAAACCTGCCTCTCCAAAGATGGAAAGAGCTCCCATTCTTTCTGTTCTTATCTCCTGGGGGAGAACTGTCAATGAAGGTACTCACATAGCAGGGTACACTGGGAGGAAATACAGAACCAGATGTCAGAGACCCACCCAGGTCACTCTTTCCTTGTCTAGCTCCTCTCTGGGGCCCCGTTTCCCTATATGTTAAACAGAGAAGTTGAACTGTTCAGTACCCAAAGTCTATAGTTTTCTATTGATCACAAAGCACAGGTTCATTGAGATTTTATATTGTGTTAATTCCTCAATCAAGAACCATCAGTGAATCTCTGGCCGTGCACATATAAACTCCTCCCAGTGATGGAAATGAAAACACTTTATTCTCTTCCAGTTTGGTTGTACACGCCAAACACTTACACGAGAGCTGTCTGGGAAATTGAGTCAAAGGAAATGGCTCCTAAATCCCTCCTGGGATCTAAATGGAAAACAAGACAGGCTATGACATCAGCTGCTATTTCCTCTGTGATCAAACTAAAGAACACAAATATCAATATTAAATTATGTATGCACACTTCTTCATTTTTACCTCTCATGCACATCACAGCAAACCCTTTACTCTCAGCCTTTAGTTCATTATATAGAAAGAACAGGAAACATGGTAAGCTTGGAAATACAGCATTTTAAAGATACAAACGACTTCAAAGATGGGACTTCAAGCACTCAGCATCCAGATGAGGAGAAAATAATAAGGAGTTGAAGATGTGAAATGACTCCATCCAAGACTGACTTCTGGAGGCATCATACTTCTTAATCTGCCTCACCTAAATCCACTGTGATTGGATGACACCACCACCTATATGCCAAATAAGTAGATATATAAATAAGCACTATTTAAAAGCCTAAAATGGGGAGCCTGGTTTTATGGGTGTCCTCCAAGACAATTAGAGGGGCCATGCAAAGGGAAAAGGCCAAGTTCACCAGGATGAACTTCCTTGATGCAGAAGCAGTCCCTAGACTAGATCTAGACTAGTAAACCGGCTGTACAAGTCGTCACTCAAGATAGAGGCACTAGCCCTTCCTAAGGAATCTTCATAGGAACTACGTCGCCCTGGGGCTGAAGAGGGGCCTCAGAAGTGAAGAACACTTGCTGCTTTTGCAGAGGACCCAAGTTTCATTCCCAGAGCCCACAAGGAGGCTCACAACCATCTGTACCTGCAGTTCCAAAGGGTTCAACATCTTCTTTTGACCTCCCTGGGCACCAGGCACACAGACGATGCACAGACATCCATGCAGGCAAAACACTCAAAATGAAGTTATCTGTTTTGGATTGGTTTTATTGATGTGGTAAATACCATAACCAAAAGCAACTTGGGAAAGAGATAATTTATTTCAGTTTACAGCTGTAGTCCATCCCAAAGGGAAGCCAAGGCAGAAATTCAAGACAGGAACCTGGAGGCAGGGACTGAAACAGGAGCTATGGAAAAGTGCGGCTTACTGACTTGCTCAGCCAGCTTTTTTATGCAACCTAGTACCAGTTGTCAAGGAATAGTACTGCTCGTAGTAGGCTGGGCCCTCCTACATCAATCATTAGTCAAGAAAATGCCCCATGGACTTGCCCACAGGCCAATCTGATGGAGAGATTTTCTCATTTGAAGTTCCTGCTTCCCAGATGACCCAAGCTTGTGTCAACTTGACAAAAATCTAGGCAGCACACTGTCTGACCACAAGTGATGATATACTGACATCCATGCACTCCAAACTATTCTGCCCCTGGTGACACAATTAGAATTCCAAATGCACAGACTATCAGAACTGGAGGGGACTTCAGAGCATCTAACCAACCATAGGCCTCCCCTTTGCTACCAAAACATTGAAGTCGCAATGAAAAGACTTGTCTCTGGTTCTGTGGGCAGTGGGAGCATGATCTCTCCAGGTTCCTTCCGCAGCACTCACTCATGAGGGCTTGGCTGGAGCTCTTCCTTGGAAGTCAGCCCCTCCCACACCAGAGCTGCCTCTGCTAGTCCATTGTATGAATTATAGATGCAAATGCTTACTAAAGCTTGAATAAGCAGATGAGGGTTTTCCCTCCCTAACCCCAGAGTCTTACACTCTGTCAGTCAGGAAAGTGGATAGATCTGCTGACACTATCAATTGCTCTCATTGTGAACTATTCTTATTTAACCCCAAATTCATTGTTGCTATGCAATGCGCCCTCAAGAAAAGACAATCTGGTGTTGAATTATGTGAAAAATTCAGTTGTCTGATTCATGTCTCAGAACTCGAACAGTGCATTTGATTTCCTCTCATCTGTACAATGTTAATCAGATTGAATTTGGCTCACACTTACTGTTTTCCAAGATCTGCATCCGAATATGTAAGGATAAGCTAACTCCAAAAAGGATACAAAAACGGCTGGAGAAAGGGTAAAACCTCAGTCTCTGGGGTTCCAGACGTCTAACTAGGTATGAAACTCACCAGCTGAGGATGATGACCTTGAACTCTGTTGCTTGTTTGTTCTTTAGGAAGGTTGTTGTTTATCTTGGAGTTTGTTTTTTGAGACAGCCTCTCTAGCCCAGATTGTCTTTGTCACCCAGGCTGACCTTAAACTTGCAGTGATTCTTCTGTCTCCTGAGGGCTGAGATTAAAGATGTGAGACATCATGAGCCTCTTCTTTCCACCAACCCTGTGCTGGGATCACAGGTGTGCACCACTGTGCTGGTTCTTTTTGTCTTCTTGACACAACCTAGAGTCATCTGGGAAGAGAAAAATCTCAACTGAGGAACGGCCTCCACCAGATTGACTTGTTGATGGGTTTGTGAGGGGCATTGCCGTGACTACCAACTGATGGAGGAGGGCTTAACCCACTGTGGGTGGTGCCACCCGGCAGGTGGTCCTGAGTTGTATAAAGAAGGTAGCTGGGGAGCTAGCGGGTAAGGGCAGCATCCCTCCTTGGTCCTCTAGTTGAGTTCCTGTCTCTAGGTTCCGGCTTGAACTCCTGCCCTGGCTTCCCTGGATGATAGACTGTAACAGGTTAGGTAAAATAAACCCTTTCCTTCCCAAGTAGCTTTGATGGTGTTTATCACTACAGAAAACAGACTAACAGCTACCACACGAGGTTTATGCGGGGCTAGGACTCGAACCCAGGGCTCCTGCATGCTAAGTAAACGCTTTGGCAAATGAGCTATATTCTCAACTAACTTTTTCAGGCTGCTGCATTTTAATTTACAAATCTGGAAATGAAGGTCATAATGTGCAATTCACGAAGTACTGTCTTGGGTACTCCATAAATGCTAGCTATTATTATTTATGGTGGTACATATGCACACACCTCCCTACTGGACAGCATAAAACAACTTTACAGGGGGCACTCCCGATTCCAGCCCCGCGACTATCTAAGAAACAGTCGGGATCCACCAGGGCTCCGAGATTTAAGACTGCTGCCGCCCCCTTCTGGTCTCCTTGCTTCAGATGCACGCGGGCTGGATGAGGATTGTCCCTCGCAGGTTCCTGTCGCAGGACGGAAACGAGGGGTGGGACAGGAAGTGGAGTCTGGCTCAGTTCGGGTGCAAGGCGGCCACTGGAGGAGAGCAGGGTGCAGCGCCTGCAAGCTTTGGAGAAAGAGCCGCAATGTTCCGGATCGAGGGTCTCGCGCCGAAGCTGGACCCCGAGGAGATGAAGCGGAAGATGCGCGAGGATGTGATCTCCTCCATTCGGAACTTCCTCATCTATGTGGCCCTGCTGCGAGTCAGTGAGTGTCCTTCGGGGCTGTGGCCGTGAGGCCACGCGTCCACCCCACCCCTGCACGCGCTCCTGGGTCCTTGAGCTGAGCATCCTGGGGAGAGCGGGGGGCGGGGGGGCGTGCATGTCCAGGGCGGCCCAAGTGCCTGCCCTCAAGGGGTCTGCGGGCCCTGAGACTGTGCCAACTGCTCGTGGTGGCCGAGGGCGCGTGGTTAAGTCACCTTTGCTAACCCGAGGCTTGTGCTTAAGGACCTTCAGGTGCTATCCCTTAGCAGTACCCTCGTGTGACAAACCTAGAAACGGTCCCTGGGAAGTGGCTGACCCAAGGTCATTTGGCGATTCAGAATAAACCTGACGTAGAATCCCGAGCTCTTAACTTGGTACCAGACGCTTTCCTTCGGTGCTTGCCTTTGAAATCCGAAAAAAACTTGCTTTCTTTGTGTTTATTTGTGCAGAGGGTGAAGTAAATAGTTGGTTTTCTTTTTTTGAAAGATGGAAAGAGAAAGATAGGCATCTGTAGAGCTACTGAGAATACCTGAAGTATTCGATTTCACCATTGACAAAAAGTTAATTTCGTTACTTGATCTCTGTTCCTTTTGCAAGTGAGAGCTTGAGTTCAAGGAGCACATCGGGGTTAAAGACAGACTGATAGATTAGAAAGTAGATGGTTCACTGGGCTAAGGCACTTGCCGCCAAGCTGGGCAACCTGAACTGGATCCACATGGCGGGAGAGAACCAATTCCCAGAAGTTGTACTCTGACCTCCACAGCTGCACCAAGGTATGCACGAATACGTGCATACACCACAGACTACACACAAGAAAATGTTTTTTTTTTTTTTTTTGCGGGGGCGGGGGGGGGGGGGGGGGGGCGGGGCGGTGTTCAGATAGGATTTCTCCGAGTAACCCAGGCTGGCCTTGAACTCAGAGATCTTCCTGCCTCTGCCTCCCGAGTGCTGAGATTAAAGGCTTGCACCACCACCCGCCCGGCTTTAAAAATCTTTTTATTGCCAGGCAGTAGTGGCACACGCCTTTAATCCCCCAGCACTTGGGAGGCAGAGGTCGAAGGTCTACAGAGTTGAGTTCCAGGACAGCCAGGACTATTTCACAGAGAAACCCTGTCTCAGAAAAACAAAACAACAACAACAAAAGATTTTTAAAATATTAGTTCTCGCCGGGCGGTGGTGGCACACGCCTTTAATCCCAGCACTCGGGAGGCAGAGGCAGGAAGACCTCTGAGTTCAAGGCCAGCCTGGTCTACAGAGCAAGATCCAGGACAGGCACCAAAACAACACAGAGAAGCCTTGTACCAAAAAATAAGTAAGTAAGTAAGTAAATAAATAAATAAAATATTAGTTCTCTGATATAACAGAATTAACTGACCCTCGAGTTCTCAATACAACATACTTCTCATAGTTCAGTGCTGTGTAGGGAGAGGCAGGAACGGTTCAAGTGATTGAACAGACCGAGATTTGAAAGACTGGAGTTAGGCCTTCCTCATGGGTTCCTCTTTTGCTGTATTCTCGCTGTGTTGCCGGCCTCTCCAGGAGAGGGCGTCTTGGAGAGCAGAAACACCCAAATCTTGCTCATCCACAGCCTCTTGAAACCTCTTCACCTTTTTAAGATTTTTATTTGTCTGCCTGTCCGTGTGTGAACCACATGCCTGCAGGTGCCTGCACCACCCAGAAGGGGGCGTTGGAACCCCTGGACCTGGAGTTAAACAGGCAGCTGTAAACTGCCAGGTGCGGATGCTGGGATCTGAACTCAGGTCCTCCTTAGTTTACAGCAGACAGGCTTAACTGCTGAGTCATCTCTCCCTTCTCCTAATGTCCCTTAGTATTCCAGACAGCTCCTGGTACACCATTTACCAAACCAGCGTCTTGATCGGAATGGCTTAGTGACAGGTAGAATCAGAGAAAGCAGTGGGTGTCGGCCCTTCCACTTACCTTCCCCAGGGATTCCGTCCCTATGCCTTCCGGTTGTTAGTTTTCCCAGGATTGGGAATTGAACCTAATGCCCATTTGTTTCCTCTAGGATTTTGTTCTGTTTAGGTTAAATAAATTCCCTGGGGCTAGAGGTATACCTTGGTAAAGTGCTTGCCTGGCTTGTGCAAGGCCCTGGGTTCAACTCCCCGTTTGGTGAAATAAGGAAAAGGTCCCCACAGTAAAGGACTGTGCAGTTATTATAGTCCTGGAGGAAGATGCAGTAGGGTGGGGTGTGCTCTACCACAATGGTAATCCAGTGAGACTGAGTGGGCTGCTTTGCAAGGCCGTGACTCCCTTTGGTTTATGGTACAGGTAGAGAGAGGCTTGATCACCATTTAGGAGTTGTTTCCAAAACCATATTTCATAAAGTTTTTTCTTTTACACCCCAGTTTTATAATTCTGCAGTACAGCCTGTGGACTCTTAGAATAAAACCTACTCTGGGGTTTTTCTTTCAGCTCCGTATATCTTAAAGAAGCTGGACAGCATATGAGGATGGGGAGTCACATGGATGCATGGCATGAAGAAACCTGGCGACAGTTTCTCCTCCTGTCTGCAGATGAATTGGCCCAGAAAGCTGTAAGACTGATGAAATGGACATAAAAACTCTACTTGTTAAGAACAAGTGGAGCTTTGGGAACCGACCTTCATAGCTGAAATATAAAACTATTTGAGAAGTGCACAAAAGATGTCTTGTGGTCACGGTGTGCCCTCAGGCCTGTGATAGCCACCTCTGTGAGTGTTGATGGAATTGTCAAAGTGTCGAACTGTAAGGGGTTAGGTCTGAATGGCACTGTCTTGGCAGTCATTTCTGTTTACAGCTTCTGTTTCAAGTGTATTTGTGAAGAGTAATGGAGTCCGCATACATCCACAATGACATCTGAGCACAGAACCGTCAGTCTATATTTTTAATAAACATTCTGATGAAAAAAGCTTGGGTTTTGGTGGGCTTTGTTTGGTTGGTTGGTTGGTTTTTTTATTTTTGTTTTTTTGGTCCCACTTTGGCCATCACTAGTGAAACTGCTGCAATATTGAGACTTGAGCCTATGGTGAGTTTCTTTTGAACTTTATGTAGCATTCCTTATGCTTCTTTGCCAGAGTCTTAATGAACTGCAACTTACTGCTTGGTGCTGAAAATGCAGACAGTGGAAGGAGGGAAAGTGCTGTAGTTTAAGATCAAATAGTTCTCTGGGTTTGTTGGCTGAAGGGGGTGGTCCTCCACAGCCTCTAACCAGGCTCACCTCTTTAACTAATATATGTGGGCTTTGTTTGTAACATTGTTTTTAGTTTATGTATATAGGTGTCTGCCTGCGTGTATGTGTATGTACCATGTGGATTCCTGGTGCCCGTGGAGGCCAGAAGAGGACACTGGATTCCCTAGAACTGGAGTTCCAGGTGGTTAAGAACTGTCGTGTGGGTGCTGGGCCTTCTGTAAGACCAGCGACATTCTTAACCACTGAGCCGTCTCTCCAGCTCCACCAGCGTGTGTCTTGGTAACATCATGGTGCTGTCGTGATTTCTGTTTTAGTTACTGCCCGCTCCTGCTGAGGTATCGCCGGGACGTGGGTTTCCATCCGTTTTCTATACCCATCATGCGTGTTTGTCGCCCCGCCTCCTGTGTGCAGCCTCGTGTGACTGGTTGACCAATGGTTTTTCTGTTCCTACAGATTTTCCCTTTTAACCCCTAGGTTTAGTTTTCCTGTGAGCTTTCCACTAAATTAACTTTTCACCAGGTACCAAAATTGTTTACATCATTTGGTTTGAACAGGCACCACGTCCTGGAGTCTTCCCTAGGGAGTCTTCCCTGGAGCCTTGCTGTTCCTCTCTGGACTGTGTGTGGCTGTAACTTGGGAACAGCCTTTTCTTGTTCCGTGTTGGGTCTCATCTGCTAATGTTTGTTTTCAGGGAGCCCTGACTGGTGAATAGGAGTAAACATTTTTAGGCCTTTCTGACCTGAAAATTATTTTTTTATAGTCACACATTTGATTCTTTGCTGAATGTAGAGTTTTGGCTTGGAACCTTCATGCTTCAGGATTTTAAGGCATTGCGACATTGGCTGTGAGTTGAGTCTGAAATCCGAAACCATTCTGACTCCTGGTCTTTCTGTGAGGCCTAATTTTTCTCTCTGAGAAACAAGGATCTCTTGTGCTGGTAGTCTTCCATTCCACGGGGACACACTCCATCCAGTGTGTGTGTATTTAATTCACTGTGCTGGGCACTAGGTCACCCTGTTAAAACTTGAAACATAAGATCCAGTAGTTCTCATAAGTTTTGAGGTTTGTTTGTTTTGTTGTGTGTGTTTGTGTTTGTTTGTTATTCGAGACAGGGTTTCTCTGTGTAGCCCTGACTGTTTTGGAATTCACTGGGTAGACCAGGCTGGCCTCAAACTTAGAGATCTGCCTGCCTCTGTCTCCTGAGTGCTGGGATTAGACGCTTGCACCCCACCCAGCAATTCAGTGTATTTTTATTGGCGGTTTCCTTCCCTGTTTTCCCTCTTCTCTTTGTAGAACAACATACAACTTTTGTGTTCTCTTTGTCCTTCACTGTCTGTTGTCTAAAGTGGCTTTTGTCTGCTTTCTTCATGTTAGACACTTCACTTTTGTTAGACTGAGTGGGCGGGCCTTGTTGGCCTTAGGCTCTTCCTCAGGGAGCTCTTTTGAGGTATGTAGTTGGGAGGAAGGTCTGTGTCCATATCTTTAGGTATTTTATATTAAGCTGGTCATTGCTGGGAGAACATTCTTCCTGTCTTGTCCATGAAGAATGAAGGCCTTGCTAGGATCCTGGGAGTCAAGTGATGCAGGAGGACTGCTGCGAGGTCCAGAGCAGAGGGGATGGCCGTCTTGTAGAGGTTACATAGCCCTATTGGGTTGCAGACCGCATCTGATAACTTAGACCTTCACTGGCTAGTTCTTAGTTTGGTCTCTCTCCGCTCTGCGCACCTGCAAAGGCCCTGAAGCTACCAGTCCCCGAGACTTGGGGGTTCTGTGCTGTGGGATTCCTTCTTTTGCTTTTCCTACCGCTGGCCTTTTGCTTTCCCGATTACAGCCTTTTGAAACTGTGTTGTCTCGTCTTCTCTCCTTTGAGATTTTAACCTTAAAATGGACAAAAGCCTTTACTGTTATTTAGTGGACTTTCAGGAGAGAGTGGACATACTCTGTTAATTTCTGTGTTCAGCCCATCATCTTTACCCAGACAGGATCTATGTTTTTAACTGTCATTTGGTGTGGTATGTAGTCACAGCCACTCCCCAGTTGCAAGCGTGCAGTGTGTAACACCATGGTGGTGAACACTGCCCCTGAAGAGGGGTAGATTTGGCTTCGGGGCCTGGTTCTGGTGCTTAAGATGCACGCCTTTGAGTAGCTGAACCTCTGAATTAATTCTCAGCTGTGGAGTTAGGGTAGTAGACTGCCTGTCAAGGGGAACAACCCGGCACTGTTACTTGACACTTGGTAAGCAATGATTATTGATGGTTAGTCTTAAATTTCATTCCAGTTTCCAGAGGTGATGAAGTAGCATGCTGGTCCTGATATATTCAGACTTGAGGAGTAGACACTAAGTAGGCAAGTTTGGCAGCACCATTTGTGTGTGCTTTTCTTAGAGAAAAAAGTGTGGTTGCTATTGGAGTTATTATATAATAACTCCAATATATATAATAATAACTTTGTTTTTATAATGAAATAAAAACAAAACAAAACAAAAAAACATGATGGGCTGGGTGGTGCCAGCTCACACCTTTAATCCAGCACTTGGGAGGCAGACACAGGCGGATCTCTGAGTTCAAGGCCAGCCTGGTCTATAGAGCAAGTACCAGGACAGGCAAGGAAACCCTGTTTTAATAAGTGGCTTCTTTTAGAAATGGAGCCTTGCTGCTAGGCAATCCTGGTGACCCTTTGAATTCTGCTACCCCTGTCTTCCAAATGCTGGGGTTACAAGTGTGTAGTTCTGTACCCAGCCTGTTAATAGCTTTTTAAATTCAGGCTATACCTACTGGGAATGTTCAGTGCTTAGAATAGACGATTCTGAAATAATATATTAGAAAATATTTAGGGGCTGGAGCAATAGCTCAGTGGTTAAAAGCACTGACTGCTCTTACAGGGGACTCAGGTTCAATTCTCAGCCCCCACATGCTGGCTCTCAACCTTTTGTAACTCCAGTTTCAGGAGTTACACTCTAATGACATCCCTGGACACAAGACCTATACGTGATGTATAGACATACATAAGCCTAAACACCAATAAGCATAAAATAAATAAGTTTTTTTAAAGAAAGAAAGTATTTAGACTATGTACATAGTTGGAGTATGTAAAGAGCAGATTGGCATTTTGTAACCTTGAAATTGAGGACATTGGGGAAAAATGGGGAACAGAAAACTTAATTCCTCCTAATTAATAAGGGGCCAGGACTTCTACAGCTAAATTAACGATCTTAACTGCTGACAGTGCAACACTGAGAAAACCTTTTTGCTTTGCCCGTTGCGGTTACTGTTGAAATAGCAATAGCTTTGAAGTCGGTACATTCAGTAGTTCTTAGGTTGGCAAACATGAGCGTACATTTGGAGTGAAAGACAGGTGCAGAAGTCTGAACTATTTGTTTGCTAGATCCAGAAAAGAAACCAGCTGACATTTGACTAGCATTTTGTCCCTGTCATGATTGCTTCATGAATTCTGCATACAGCTCAAGCCATCAAAGAAACCACAAACGTCAGGACCGGCTAGCTTTGCTTTGGGTCAAATGGTAAATATTTCAGGCCTTTCAGTCTGCACGGGCTCTCCTGTGCCAGGTTGGCAATTGTGACGTGGAAGCGGTCAGACTTCAAATGAGCAAGCGTGGCTGTGTCCTAGTCACACCTGACAGGGAGAGCTGGCACCCGACTAAAGTAAAGAGCATGTCACTAAATCGCAGAGCTGTGACGTTAAAGATAAGCTATTTAGGGGTTGAGGAAATGGTTCAGTGGATGAAGATGCTCGCTGCCAAGCCCGACAGCCTGAGTTCAGTCCTTGTAGCTGTATAATGGGAGGAGAGAACTGACTCCCACAGCTGTCCTCTGACCGCCACACATGCCCCGTGGTATGCACACACATTCAAATTCATGCAGGTACGAATAAATGTAATTAATGTTTTTAACACTTTAATTGTATGTGTTTGTGTGAGTGTGTGCATGTGAGTGCAGTGCCCCTGAAGGTCAAAGGTGATGGATCCCTCTGTAGCTGGAGTTTTAGACAGCTGTGAACAGCCTAATGTTGGTGCCGTAACTAAACTCAGATCCCCTGGAAGAGAAGTATACACTCTGGACCACTGAGCTGTCCGTCCGACCCCAAATGTAATGCATTTTTACAGGTTGAACTATTTACTCTCTTGCTGGTTATATAAGGAAAAGGTTTGGTGTGGAGCCTGGGTTTACAAAGCCCCAGAGATGGCAAATTCATCCATCCCGAGTTACTGAGCTGGTACCATGGACCTGGCATGGGCTAGGAGATGGGCATGTTGGACAGAGAGGCTGCCTTTTGGGGTCCATTACCCACCTGTAGGGGAGTGGGCATCTGAAAGACCTAAGCTTGCTGGAGGCTCTGGAGAAGCTTCCCTGACGAAATGGCACCGTCGGAGCCCTGAGGCTTGTTGGGATTATTTTAGGGGAAAGGTTAGGGAAGGAGTGGTTAGTAAAGGATGGTACTGGTGAAGAAAGTTCAGAGTTGCCCGCCCGCTTCAATTAACACTGCACCTGAAGTGAGGCCTGAGTTTGAAAGAGAACAAATGGACGCACGGGCAGAACATACCCTGGCTCGGGTGTGCCGTGGGGAGGGAAAGGCTTGACGACGCCCCTTTGAAGTAAGGTCAAGATGGTGGCTTCTTTTTATACCAGAGCTGAAGTGTCCGCAAGTTGGACATATAGAGTGGGCATTTGCATGTTGTCTCAGGGTCACTGTTGCTGTGATGAAACATCATGACCAAAAACAACTTGGGAGGAAAGGCTTTGCTTGGCTTATATATCCTGAATCACAGTTCACTGAGGGAAGCCAAGGAACTCAAACCAGGTGGGTACTTGGAGGCAGGGGCTTACTGGCTTGTTCAACCTGCTTCCTTTAGAACAGTGTTACTCAACCTGTGGGTCACAATCCCTTTGGGGGTTGAATGACCCTTCCACAGGGGCTGCCTAAGACCATGTGTTTTAGCAGCTGTCGTTTCTATATTAGCAATCAGAAAATCTAAAGCCAACACAATAACACAGAATCTAGTCTCTCTATTTTTCCTATATTTATGTGGCTTATTATATGTATTTTTCATTCTTCCTTTTTTAAGGCTTTATTATTTTTAATCTATGACTGTCTCTACCCTTTCTCTGTTCTCTCCCAAGCCTATGTATATTTTTAAACACACTGTAACCCATTTAGAGGTTTTTCCCCATCTGGATCTGTCTTTGTTGCATATTTGTAATTTTATTTTATTTTATTTTATTTTGCATGAACAAAACTTAAGCCCGCCATGAGGCTTAGTTCATGGCATACCGGTAGAGCTCACTCTGGCAGAGCTTGCTTTGGCAGCTCAAGGCTTCAGGCAGCGGCTGGGAGACTCGTCTGTGTATCTCAGCAGGCATGAGAGACATGAGATTAGAAAGCCGGGTTTGGCTCTGTTTTTGTGTGTTTAGAACCTTTTTTAAGCTTTCTCAGGTCTTATGTGAATGTAGGTGCCAGATATTTGGGTGCCATTTGTAGGTGGAGTTTTCTTGTCCCGGCAGTCACTCCCAAATAAATGACACGGAGACTTAATATTAATTATATAATTGCTCGGCCAGTAGCTCAGGCTTGTTACTAGCTTAACTCTTATATTTTAAATTAATCCATTTCCCTGCGTTGATGTCATTTCTTAGGACACCTTTGGATTGATCATGAAAACAACTATACGTCCGTCCCCACTGGCGGTCCGTCGCGCTCCCGCGCGTGGTGGGTCCCCACCGTGCATTGGGACCAGGGTCCGGTCGGAGAGCCATTCATCCCGGGAAACGGGGTGCGGCCGGAAAGGGGGCCGCCCTCTCGCCCGGCACGTTGAACAAAAAAAAAAATTAATTAATTAATCCATTTCCATCACTTTACTTGCTGTCATGTGGTTCATGACTTGTTACCTCATTTTATACATGTCCTATTTCTCTACATCTGTCCCGAGACTCCTCAGACTCTGCCCTTCTTCCTTCCAACATTCTCTCTGCCCCTAACCAGCTTTTTATTAACAGTGAGAGCAATACATATTTACAGTGTACAAAGATTGTTCCACAGCGTGTCTCCACTGTTCCCTCAGTATAGAGTATACATCCCTTAGATTTTCAATAACTTTACTCCTCTATGAGGTCTTTGTCGAAAGGAGTTTTCTCAGCGAAGCATTATTAACTCTTTGTAGACAACAGGGTATTTCAGTTTGTGAGGACCCAAGCCTTCACACATCTGTGCATTACTCTAAATGTTACACTTTAACAATTAAAAAATTACACTTGCTCCTTGCAGAGGGTCTGGGTTTGGTGTTTGGCATTCACATCAGGCGGCTCACAACAAGCTATTAACTCCAGTTCCAGAATACCTAGCACCCTCTTCTGGCCTCCACTGGTATCTGTGTGAAGATGGTGCATAAACATACACTCAGATACACAGATCCACATGAACTAAATCTTAAAAAATTAGTCTCTGCTCTATACTCCATCTTCCCCCTTCCCTGCTTTATCTTTATCACTATCATTGAGTATAATTTTTCTTATTAATTGTTTGTCTCCCCTCACTAAAAATATGCTCTATGAGAGCAGGAGTTTCTGTCTACTATATTCACTTCTGTATCCCAGGACCTAGATCTACAGGCAGCCAACAGGCACTCGGTATTTGTTGAATAAAGGAATGAGGGGATTGGGAGTGAGCAGGACTAGAGAGATGATTCAGGAGTTTAGAGCACTTGTTACTCTTGCAGAGGACTTGGGTTCAATTCCCAGCATACACGTGGTGGTTCCCAACCATCTGTAACTCCAGGTAACTCCAGGTCAGGGTAACTGATGCCCTCTTCTGACCTCTGCAGGCACCAAGCATGAATATGTTGCACATACATACATGCATACATAAAATGAATAGATCTTTAAAAAAGTGAAAGTGTAGAAGCATGAAAGTCAGATGACCACAAGAAGGTAGGATTCTCAGAGGATGCTGATGGCGGGCTTAAGATCTGTCATGACTTTGCAGTCTCTGCAGATGAACTTTTCCTCCAGCATTGCTCTGCTGCTGCCCAGAGGCAAACCTGTAGAAGGCGAGTTGAATGCAGCCGTGATTGAAGCTGTGATGAGTGGATGACATGAATGGACAGAGAGAGCACCTAAGGTAAAGCTCAAGTCATCTAAGCTGTGTGAGGAGGGAAGGGCAGGAGGGAGCTAATGGCCAGGAAGGAACTGGCTCAGTCCTGCTTTGGCAGTTGCAAGGGCAGGGCCCAGTGGGCAGACAGGTGAAGAAGACCTTTTATACCCTGAGTGACAAACCTTCAGTATGGAGAAAAGTTTCTGTTCTGAGAAAGGCAGGGCCCTTTCATTGTTTTGTTTCTCACAGAGAGAAGAGTTGTTTGAGGCTGTTACCAAGAGAAACAGTATGTTAGAATCTGTTGGAGTCATAACTGAGTGTGTATGTGGCAATTTGGAAAGGACTTGTCTGACCTACCACTAAAACTATGCTGTTCATTTAGCAGCTGTTTCATAAAACCAAGAGCCTGATTTTGTGGGACTGTGCTGGAGCAGTGGGGAGACATAACACAGCAGTGTGAGCTTCCATGGAGCTTTTCTTTTGTCTTTGTGTGGTGTGGTGTACGTACACATGATTATGCAGGTGCACAGGCCCTTACCAAGCAGAGCACGGTGTCAGGTGTCTTTCTCTCTCAGTCTTGCTGTCTTGAGATAGGATCTTTCACTGAACAAGTTTTCTGTTGCAGCATGTACAGCTGTTCCCGGATTTTTCTGTGAGTACTGGGGATTTGAACTCAGGTCGTCATGATTACAGAGCAAGCATTCTTACCCACTGAGCTATTTCCTCAGGTTTCTCTGATGCTTTACTTACTGAAACTCAAGTGGCATTGCTTTTAATTATTTAATCCATGGGAAACAAGTAATATATGATCAGAGATGATTGCTGGGATAATCTTCACTTCCTCACCTGCCTAAAGCACCTTCTGATTGGTTTAATAAAGAGCTGAATGGCCAATAGCTAGGCAGGAGAGGATAGGAGGGACTTCTGGGAGAGACAGGAACTCTGGGAAAGAATCTGAGGTGTGGGAGATTCGCCAGCCAGACTCAGAGGAAGTTAGACATATGGTACTGAGGAGAGATAACAAGCCATGTGGCAGAATGTAGATTTATATAAATGGGTTAATTTAAGTTTAAGAGCTAGGTGGGAACAAGCCTAAGCTAAGGCCAAGCTTTCATAATTAATAAAAAGTCTCCGTATCATTATTGGGGAGCTGGCAGTCCAAAGAAAGATGATAAAGACAGTGGAGAGAAAGTTTGGAAGGTCAGCAGATAAGAATAAAAACTCAGAATGATCACTCGTATTGGCTCCTTCCCAGTTCCATAGCAGATTTTATCTTCCACTCATTGAGCTGTTTTTTAAGGTTGGTTTACGTATCCTCGGTTGCTCTCAACCCCACCTGGTAACCGTGGAAGATGGTCTTGAGCTTCAGATTCCCCCGTTTCTCCCCCCTCCTAAGTGCTAAGATTGCTGGCTTATGCTACTGCACCTTGATTTTGCAGAGCTGGGAATAGAACTCAGGACTTCCTAAGCAAGCACTTTACACACTGAGCTACAGCCCCAGTCCTTGTCTGTTTTAAATATTTGTGTTTCTTTGTTGAAAAACTATTGCAAATGTATCTTTGCTGTGACCTACCTAGCGGATCTTCTGATCACATCCTATGAATAGTAAATAGGCACCAGAGGCCATATACCTGCAAATCAAAGACTACATACCCAGAGGGAGTTGGGGTGATGATTATACACTGGTACACTGGGTGGTAAGCTCCCCATGAGAGGAGAGGTTCAAGTCTAATAAAGAAAACAGCACCTGTACTGTTACATAAGTTTCAGACGTCATGTGTTGAGGTGCCTTCCAAAACAAACTGCACACTAACGTCACCTGGGAAGCTTTGAACAAAAGGCCTATTGAAGGCAGAATCACTGTGGATGAGACCCAGAAATCTGTCTTTCATAAGCATTTAAGTGACCTCATTGGCTCGGGGTCTGCTCTGGATAACTGATAAATTTATATTAACTTAAGATCTTTTCCAGTTATAAAATTACATGATTGTTCGGGACTAAGAAGCAACAGGAAGAATGTGAGTGGTTGTAGGTTTCATTAGTCAAATTGTAGCCTTGCTGGACAGGGCTGCAAACACCTGTAGTCCCAGCATGTGGTAGGCAGAGACTGCTGGGGGTTTCTGCATGTTTGAGGTCAGCCTGAGCTGCATCGCAAGACCCTCTCTCAAAATAAAAAGGTCCTCTGCTCTGACAGATGCTTCAGGATTAGCCATCTGGCCACAGGTGAGTGGGGTGGTTAATACTGGAGGACCAGGAACCAGGCGTCCAGAGAGAAGACTGAGGACTGACTGCAGGAGCATGGCCTGCAGATCTATCTTAGGTGCTTGAGAAGCTGGGATTTTGTTGTTGTTTGTCTGTTTAGGCAGGGTCTCTCTACATAGCCCTGGCTATTCTGAAACTCATCATGTAGGCCAGGCTAGCCTCAAACTCACAGAAATCTGCCTGCCTCTGCCACCTGAATGCTGAGATCAAAGGTGTGCACCACCATGCTTGGCTGAAAAGCTGTTTGTTTTTAATTACATTTCTTTATTGTGTGTGTGTGCACACTCGAGTGCAAACACTTGTAGAGGTGAGAAGACAGCTTTGTGGAGCTGGCCTTCTCCTTCCACCACCACATGGGTCCAGCTGAACTCAGAACCTCAGGATTGTGAGCAAGCACGGGTACCCGCTGAGCCATCTTGCAGGCTCTGGAGAGCTGTTTGTACACAGGAAGGGGGCTGTCCTTTCAAAGAGTAATTATCCCAGAAGGCAGAGTAGGAGCACCATAGTGAAGCTAAGAAGGAGCATGCCTTCCTGAATCCACAGCTGAGCCCAAGACAGGCCGGATTCGGGGGGAGCGTTTACTTGAAGTTAATGTGTATACTTTGGGAGCCGGCTAGAGAGCAGTAAAAAACATTTGCCATGGTCTTTTCCCTATTTCCAAAAACCCCATTTCTCTGTTACATCTTAACGAAGGGATTGAATAAACAACAACTTGAATTAAAGGGGGAGAATACTGACTTTGTGGGTGCAGCCTGACATCCAGGTATCAAAAGCCATCTACTTAATGGGATGCTTCCCATTCATGAGTATTTCCTTCATTGCCTGCTGTGCACCAAGCATCAATAGGTAGGAGGATGATAGAGAACTCAGCCATTGACTTAGGGTTTCAATTGCTCTGGAGACACCATGACCACGGCAACTCTTATAAAGGAAAACATTTCATTGTGGCTGGCTTACAATTTCAGAGGTTTAGTCCATTATCATCATGGAGGGAAGTATGGCAGCGTGCAGGCAGACATGGTGCTGGGGAAGGAGCCCAGAGTTTTATATCTGGATCAGCAGGAAGCAGGAAGAGAGAGGGAATCACTGGACTTGGCTTGAGCATCTGAAACCTCAAAGCCCACCCCCAGTGACACACCTCCTAAAGTGCCACTCCCTATGAATTTGTGGGGGCCATTTTCATTCAGACCACCACAGTCGTGGTCTCTGACCTTAAAAGGCTTGTAAGGCCGGGCGGTGGTGGCGCACGCCTTTAATCCCAGCACTTGGGAGGCAGAGGCAGGTGGATCTTTGTGAGTTTGAGGCCAGCCTGGTCTACAGAGCGAGATCCAGGAAAGG